GTTCGACACCCTGACCCGAGGTGAGCTTTGCCAAGGCGTCGGCATGTACGTTCTGCACCTGTGACATCCTTGTTATGGCGAAGCAGTGGAAGCAGCTAGTGAGTTTCTTTACCTTGAACAAGTATTTTGACATGGTAGCACCCCGAGCCTCATAGTCTCCATTGATATGGCTGACCACCAGTTGAGAGTTGGTGAAAACTTCGATGCTTTTGACTTGGAGCTCGAGAGCCAACTTTAGGCTGGATAGGAGCGCTTCATATTCGACTTCGTTATTGATAGTCTTAAACCCAAAGCAGAGTGGTGACTGAACGTTCGGCCATCGGGGCTTTTGAGGACGAGGCCGACCTCGCCCCTTTTGGCGTTTGTCGAGTCGTCGATGTGCAAGCTCCACCGTTGCCCCATACACTCGCCATCATTGCTGTTGAGGGGAGCCAATTTTGAGATGAAGTTGGTAATTGCCTGAGCCTTGATGGCCATCCTCAAGACATACTGTATGTCAAATTCCCCGAGCTCGACTGACCACTTTAGCATTTGTCCGGACATGTCGAATTTGGACAAGATTTGTCACAGTGGCTAGTCGGTTATTACTTTGATCGAGTGGGCTTGGAAGTAGGGTTGTAACTTCTTGGCTGTCTAAACGAGTGCTAAAGCTAGCCTCTCTACCGATTGGTATCTCGCCTTGGGCCTACTGAGGACGTGGCTCAAGTAGTAGATAGGTTGCTGCATTCCAGAATCTTCTCGAGTCAGGATGAAATTGATGGTGTGCTCGGAAGTCGCGAAGTGGAGGCTGAGCGATTCTCCCGAGGAGACTGTAACAAGTCGAGATAGGTGCACCAGGTGCTTCTTTAGTCGGTCAAAGGCCTCTTGATATTCTAAAGTCCATTCAAAGTTGTTTGGGCTCTTCAAGATATGGAAAAAGGGGAGACACTTGTCTCCTGACTGAGATAAGAATCGAGCAAGGGCGGCACCCAGTCAAGCACTGAATCTCCTTTACTGAACGGGGATGCTGCATGTTGATGATAGCTTGAAATTTTTTTAGGTTGGCGTCTATTCCCCTTTGGTAGATGATGAAGCCAAGGAATTTTTCCAAGCTGACCCAAAGACACACTTGGCCGGGTTGAGGCACATGTCACAATCCTACAATGTTCTGAATGTCTCGGCGAGTTCCGTTAGGTGAGTTCGGGTGGACTTTCTCTTGACGATCATATTGTCAACATACACCTCCATGTTTCTCTCAATCTGGTGGGCGAATATCTTCTTCATCATCCTTTGGTAGGTTGCCACAACGTTCTTCAACCAGAATGGCATGATTGTGTAGAAGTAGACTCCTCAGTTTGTGATGAAAGTTGTATGTTCCTAGTCTTCTGACACCATCTTGATTTGGTTGTATCCTAAGAATACAACCAGGAACATTAGGAGTTTGTGCCCCGAGGTGTGTCGATCAGTTGGTCGATCCTCGGTAGTGAATAGCAGTCCTTGGGCATGCTCGATTGAGGTCAGGGTAGTCAACACACATCGTCCAACTTCTATTAGGCTTTTTAACGAAAACTACATTCGATAGCCATCGAGGATATTTTACTTTTGTGATGAATCTTGCCACCAAGAGTCATTCTATCATGTCGTGTACCGCCTTTTGTCGGTCAAGCGCCAGCTTTCGGGGTCGCTGCTTCACCGATTGTGCTTAGGGACTAATGTTTAGGTGGTGTTATGTGACCATTTGGTCAAACCCGGGTGTGTTCGTGGGTGACCAGGTGAATACGTCAGCATTTTCAACTAGCAGGTTGATGAGTTGCTCTATTTCCTCCTCCAATAGCCCTGACCCGAACCTAACAACCCTATATGGTTGGTTGTGACGTAGCGGGACCTCTTGGGTGTGCTCAGTCAGTTCGAGGTGCTACGTTGGCTTGGCGACGTCCCGAGGGTCGGTGATGGGATGGTCACGCCTCGATTTCTTGGGTAATGTGATGATCGCCATGCAACATCGTCGGGATTCTCGAGGATGACTCCTTTTTTCCCCGACCCCTGCTCGAGTCGAGGATTTATCACCCTGATGGTATGTGGAGATGACTGCTCTAAGCTTATTGAGGGTTGGTCGGCCCAAGATGGTGTTGTATACCGAGGGGAGTTCCACCACCATAAAGGTTACCATGATCATCTTGACTTGGGGGTCTTCGCTCAGGGTGACTGGTAGGACGGTTGTGCCGAGGGATGAAATGGAATCACCTGTAAATCTGGTAAGCGTTGATTGAATTGGGGCGAGGTCTTCCTTGGTCAGGCTGAGTTTCCAGAAGGCATCAAAGTATAGGACATCGGCGGAGCTCCCAATGTCCACCATGATCCTTTTAACCCAAGCATTAGCGATCCTAGCCGAGATGATTAGTGTGTCGTCATGCTCCGGGTACTTGGTTTCTCCTACCAGGAAGGTAATCTCGAGCACTAGGGGTTGCCTCGGGTACTTTTCTACGGTTGCTTGGGCATAAGCCTTCTGTCCCGCCATGCTATCTCCCCCCGATATCGAACTGCCACTGATCACATCAATCTGCTTTTCGTTCGGCCCCGAAGGATGAGGCAACAATTCGTGTGGCCTCCCGATATTACGACCCACATGCCCTCAACGTATGAGTTTTTCGATCTGGTTCTTGATGTCACGACACTCCTTGGTGTCATGTCCATAATCACGATGAAACTGACAGTACTTCGAGCGGTCTCTGAGCTCTCATGGTGCCTTCATTAGGTTTGGGGCTTTCAAGAGTCCCCTCTCTCTGATCCGCAGGAATATCTCCGTCCTGGAGGAATTTAAAGTTAGGAGTGTAGGCCTCGGGAGTGGTGTGCCGGGTAAGTCAATCCTCCTTCTTGGCGGCGCCAAGGCTTGCCCTCGGGTTGGTTCTGCTCATGGCCTATTATGCTCCTCGCACCTTCCTGCCATTAATGCTTCAGCGGCTACGTATTGGTTAGCACATTAAAGCATTTCGGGGATAGCCATAGGTGACTGCTCGACCAGTGTCTAGAAGAATCTAGAAAGTTAGAGTCCCATCAAGAATGCCTGCATTATCAAAGAGGGATGAGCATCGGGCAACACCCGGATTTCAGTAGCAAAGCGTGTCACAAAATGCGAAAGCGGCTCATCATCGTTTTGGCTGAGACCGAGGAGTAAAGTTGCGGACGGCTTCAGTCGCACATTGGCCAGGAAGTTGAGCTCGAACTCTTTGGCCAACTGATCGAAGGAGGAGATCGAGGCTCGTACGAGTCGACTGTACCATATATGAGTTGGGCCTCGGAACGAGGTGGGGAACACCTTACACATGAGGGCATTCGAAGTGTCGTATAGGGCCATCTAGGCTCGAAAGATAGCGACATGTTCCGTCATGTTAGAGCCGATGTCATAGGCTTCGAGAATAGGGAGGCAAAAGCTTGGAGGGACTGGCTTGTCCTGAATCTCGAGTGCGAAAGGCAATCCTCCTGAAGAGGCCTCGCCAAGCTCCCCTTCGGATTTACCGAGCACAATTGTGCAAGTAGAGAGTTTGCCGAGTCGGACGACAGTGTGTCAGGCTTGGGACTGTCAGAGTGGAGGTGTCAGAGGCTTCGTGCATTGCGAATGGGCACTGGCCTCAGATTCAACCGACGCTCGGGCTCAGGACTGTCGGAGTGAAGGTGTCAGAGGCTTCATGCGTTGCACATGGACACTGGCCTCAGACTCAACTGTCGCTCAGGTGATGAGGTGACGTTCGTTGTCTCAGGCTGCCGGGGAACCAAGGGTGGCACCGGAGAGGGTGGAGGCTATGTGGGAGTAGGAGGCGGCGACTCCCGTTGTGGCATTGCCGGGAGCGTCGAGAGTTGTCCGGGGTGAGGAACGAGGGGAACGATGGTTTGTATCATCCTGGCCAAAACTTGAACTTGGTGTGTCATGTTGAGGAAGGCCTCGAAAGAGATGGAAGGTTGAGTGGTAGTCATTCCCAAGGGTTGCTACGGAGCCGTTGGCCTCCTGCTCGGGGGGAGGTAGGTGTGGCTCCCCAAACCCCGGAGTTAAGCGGGTCTGGAGGAACTCGTTACACAAGTGTTCGGGCACATTGCCTTGTTGGGATTGATCCTGCGTCATCAAGCCCTCCTTCTAGCGTCAATATGATAGTGATCCTTTACACCGTGGTTGAAGGGTCAGCATGGCTTGGTTCAGTCCTGGGTGCGCAAGATCATCCACGTCGGTACTCGGGCGATGGGAGCCGTCATCCGATGGGGTCGGACTTGGGCTTTGACTTCAAGATCTGGAGACTCCCCCTTTTATTAGTCGCCCTCCGTTTTACTATCTATTCTTACACACAGGTCGGGATTAGGAAGGTGGTTCCTGATTTTGACCCCTCCGAAGATTTTGTTAGAACTGGATGGAAATTGGGCCAAGAGCCGATCCCTATCACCGGCCCACGATGGGTTTTTATCCTTCTCTCGGGGATTGGCCGTACATGTCATATTTATAGCTGCTGACCCATCGGGCGATGGGCTTCCTCTTGGAGTTGATGTTGGGCATCCTTAGTGTCATGGTGTCGAACCGTCGCCTCATACTTGATGCTGTCTTGACCTTTATGGGATGACGCTATACTCGGTCAGCCCCGTCCCGATCTTTGCGGGATGACACTGTACTTGGTCGACGTCATCCCGACTTTTACGGGTCGGCGTTGTCCTCGATCGGTGCTATCTCGATCTTTACGGGATGATGGTGTACTTGGTCGACGCCATCCCGACTTTTACGAGTCGATGCTATACTCGATCGGCGCCATCCTGACTTTTGCGGGACAACGTTGATCAGGCGGTGTGGTCCGTTATGTTGATCTTGATGTTGATGTGGCTATGAATAGTAGTTTGAAGGTAAGTTACTGTCCTAACAAATGGTTTAATTTTATATTTTTATTTATTTTATTTTATTTATCATATACACAAAAAAATCCTAAATGACTCAAATTTATTCAAATAATAATTATGACACTTTAACGTTGCTGTGTTCTAATTAATAGGATACTCTACTAGTAAAGCTTTGCGCATAACACGTAGTACCCGAAGTTGACCAGAGTCAACCCCGCCACGAGCCAGTACACGTTCTCCACCTTCGAGCCGTTAATGTCGTCCTGCAGCCACCCGGTGACCCTCCGAGCCATGTCCACCATGGCGGCGCTCAGGTAGAATCCGAGAGCGATGATCAGCGCCATCATCCCTGTCGCAGTGCTCCTCAGCGACCTCGGGAACGCCTGGAAGTATAGCGCCACCTGGCCCGGGAAGTGCAGCGCGTCCGCCACTCCGGTCACCGCCAACGGCAGCACCAGCCACAGCGCGGTCATGGGCACGACCCAGTCGCCATGCTGGCACGCTTTCTCTCCACCAAGGCGGACGCCGCGATGCCGGCGGTGTTGATGATGTGGCCAAGGCCGATGCGCAGCAGAGGCCTCGGGGGGCGCGGGCTGAGCTTTTGCCAGAGCGGGAGGATGAGGCGGTCGAGGAGTAAGAGGGAGAGGACAGTGGAAACGAAGGAGGAGACGACCATGGAGCCGGCGGGGATGGAGAAGCGGGGGCCGAGGGAGCGGTCCATGGTGAGGGCCTGGAGAACGGTGAGGATGAGCTGGATGCCGATGGAGACGCTGAGGAAGATGGAGGCGCTCCAGAGAGGGAGGACACGGAGAAGGGACTTGAAGTCTTCTACTTGTTGGACGGTGCAGAGGCTCCATGGCTTGGCGATGGAGCCGTCCGGCCGCGTGTCGCCATGGCAGATCCATGCGGCCCGGTTCAGAAAGCTGGAGGCATCAGAAGTAGATCTCATTGCACCGTAAACTGTACAAAGTCGAAGGACGGAACAGTGCATGACAGTTGTTCTGATAGATCAATTTAGGCAGCAACTGTCGCATTCCTACTAAAACTTTGACTCAACACACCTAAATCGTTGACTCGGTCGAAGGTTGATTGACTCCTCGAGCTCAGATGTCCCGTGGGAATATGTGCTGTCATCCTCTGCCACCACAACATCCCACTTCCTTATAGCGGCAACGGCCACACGGGCCAGTCCAGTGAAGGGGCTTCCACATGCCGCCGGCCTTCGGTAATGCTTGCTTCCAAGGAGCACAAGCACCACGGCGATGGCGTTCGCCGCCGCTGACACGCCGAAGCCCAACGCCCAGCTGATGGAGTCCTCGACGAAGACGATGGAGGTAGAGCCGATGATGCCGACGGCGTACATGACGACGATGGACCAGTTGAAGAAGACGTCCCGGTCACCGACGCTGTCGAATTGGTGGGCTCCAAAGGTGAGCATGTTGAACTGTGTCCCGCCGGACCCGACGACCATCAGCCCCACCGCCGTGTAGAGGAACGCAAGCTGACCCGCCGATGGCACGCAAGCGTCGGAGATGAACGCGCATGGGGGTGGTTGCAACGACCGGAAGGCGGCGGTCAGTGTGAAGAGGATCAAAGACTGCTTGCGATGAAGATAGATGAGAACACAGCCTAAATGCTATTCTTCTAATTAGCATTCCATTGTATAATAATGAATCAATAAAAACGTGACTTACGATATCAGAGCCGATCTAATATCGAACATGACGAATTGGCCTAAACATCACGTGGATAATATTAGGACTGAATTAGTAGTAGGATGAGTACCACGAAGGTGACGATGGCGGAGAAGACGACGACTGGGTAGCACCCAAAGAAGGCATCTGAGACGACGGCGCCGGCCAACGGGGCAAGGCTGGTGCAGCCTTGGACGATGTTCCCGATCTGGGCGGCGTCTACGGCATTGAAGTTGTACTCCTTTATCAGGTACACCACCAGGTTGCCCATCGCCCCGGTGAGTGCCAGCCCCTGCCCCAGCATGCTCCCTAAGAGCTCAACAACCGTACTCAGATCACGGTTCACAGAGAGAGAGAGAGAGAGAGAGAGAGAGAGAGAGAGAGAGATGAAGAGGGAGACCTATGATGAAGGGAACTGTGATCCAACCCCCTTTGTTAGCATTCTGAGCTTCGTTAACGATGAGCTTATATCGTTCAGAAGCTCCATCTTCCATCCTCCTCCTCGCTCACGCTTCTCCTCTGCAAATCTCAGGGAAGGAGGAAAGGAGCAAACGAGATTCGTCGTTCATTACAATATGTTACATCATTTCAATGCCGGGGGTTCCTCTTTCATAATCGGAACACTGTTCTCTATCTCGTCTTGAATCGGAACGTGGGAGCTTTGGCCCACTGTCATCGTTATCGTGATAGTACTCTCAGACACCCAAACCACATGTACCAAAAGGTGGTACACTTGGGCCATAAGCTAGTAGCCCGATTAGATCCAGGAGTGAATCCAAATAGATTGGATCAGCACATTAATAGATCGGGCTTATCTTGGGCCACAAACTAAGGCCTAATGAATATTTCATCCGATATAGCACATGAATTCCTTTCCATGGCTTTAAAGGAAAAGGATTTAGAGAAACCGCAATAGGATTCATGCACAATGGATCGTGAAATGCTGCAAAAACAGGAAAGAAAAAGTTTACAGGCCATCTTGTGAGAGGAGATGAGCTGCTCTGGCCACCATGAGAGTGACCATGGAATGAATGCCATGCACGCATCATCTTCCTTCGTAACTCTCTCCTTGTTGCATTACCACTCATTCACCCTGTAAAAGCCAAAACTTGCAGTACTTCCATGGAGCCATGCAGGCATGTAAACCAACAAAAGACTTGCTTGTCCTTTGGTGCTCACCTTATCTTCCCGCCCCCACACACACACCCTCTCTCCTCACTAAATCACACAAATCCAGCGAGATATTTTTCCTGCTCCGAGAGGTACAAGAAGACTACCGGGAACTCACATCTCTCTCCACTTTACGCTTTAATTAGTTTGTTTTGAGTTGGTGCAATTGCATGTGAATGTACTTTCATGAGTTCTCCCCTCACGTGACCTTTGGTGGTATATCATCAGAATCTTAGAACAGGCCAAATGAGATCAAATACATATCAGCAGAAACAAAATCCAGAGGAAAAAACCTGGGAAGCTCATGTAAATCCATGGATATATAGAGCATCCCCCTCCAAGCTAATACAGTCAGAGAAGATCCAAACAACGGGTAGCGGTAATGCATAAAACAAGATGAATAGATTGGTAGTCTGAGAATCCTACAGACGTTGCAGCAATTAATGCTTGCCATACAACTCATCTTTTCCTTTGTTTTCTTTGTTTTAGATGATGAAGAGTATCTTTCCAGCAGCGGTATCTTTGTTTTAACTGTGGCAGATGCTCCAAGAGAGAGAGAGAGGGTAGTTTTTGGAAGTGACAGTCTGCCAAGAAACACAAGACAAGAGCAAACTCTTGATGAGTGCTTGGGGAGTTACTTGTAGCGTCCTAAGAGAACGACGGTGAACAGGGAGGAGTCACGAGAGGGTTGTCGAAGTACAAGCAGACAAGCACGGCAGCAAGCACAGCTGCAAAAAGATGGTGATGGTGCCACAGCAACTGTTTGTCACCCCCCCCCCCCCCCCTCTCTTCTCTCTCTCTTCTCT